TGCGCATCTGGTTTGAAGCATTTACTGAAAATCCTCTTACATTTACATTTCTCCACACTGTTGCTCCTTAAGAAACACCATGTGTCACAACTCATAACCCCAGGTTGGGATAATCTTGTACGAAGTGGAAAGCAAGTAAAATGGGCTCATAGTGTGGCTGTTTGATTTCTGTTTTCTGCTGTAAATCGCCGTGGATCAGGAGCTTTAGGGAGTCTGGTGGTCACTGATTGTACTGAGAGCCGTAGCACACGCAACACCTGCTCATGATGTCCTGAAGCTGTTTACGGAACAAAATATCTTTAAGCACTTTTAGAAAATAAACTCTCTCGAAAACAAATTTAACACTACAAATTTACACTTGCAATGTCTAAAAATGTTGCATTGTGTTATTTTAGTATTATTTACACACTATTGTAATATATTTTTAATTTAAATTTCATTTGAATTAGAATTTCTTTCTTTATGTAATTTATTTCAGTTTTAGTTTGAGAAATTTTAGTACCTCATTGTAAACGTATTTATTTCAGGCGGTTTCTAATTTTCCTTTAAGTTTTCTAATATTTATGTTTTTAAAAATCGTAGTTTATATTTGATTTCATTTTTTAATTCCAACAATAACAACACTGGTATCGTTTTTGTATCCTAATCACACACGAATGAATAATATTTTCACTATTTACCCTGATATTTCCATGATTTATTCACATATTACATCGTATATTGTATGTCAATTGTTTTTATAAACCCAATACATGAAAAAAAGGGCTAAAACTGTTGGTTCTAGTGGAAAATACACCACATCTCGTAAATAATTCTCACAGTAAATTTTGATATAGTTTATTTCATGCTCTGTTCATAAAATCATCATAGTATTAAGCATGATTAATGTAATAATTCAGGTTTTACAGATTTTTATACAGTAGTTTATGATCAAAAGTCTGGGATAAGAGTAAAACAATAAAATCTGACACTATAAAACAAAATTAAATCATTAAGGCATGATGAAAAACATTGCAAGAAAGTTTTAATGGAACTAAAAGATTTGAAACATTTGAAATCCTTGTAAAGTAATAAAAATCAACCCTTGGGACCTAAAAGTGCTTGTATTCGAAGAAACACCCATTACTAGTATCTAGTAGTCGACCGATATATCGCCGAGGCCGATATATCGGCCGATATTTGGCATTTTTAAAATATCGGCATCGACCGATAAGTTTTTCTGTTTGGCCGATGTGTTCGAGTTTTTATTTTGACGGCGCTGAGAATGGCAGCGCCTGCACACACAGTGTTCACATTCTCCTTGTTCGCTGTCGTCGTTAACAGTTCTGTCTAATACAGACAGAAATCTGTCTAATAATCAGATAGAACTGTTAAACAAAGGAATTAAAATGTATGCAAAAAAGTATTATAATGACTGCTTTTATATTATTAGTAATAGAAAGGCAAACATTATAATACTTCAGCTAGCATTCAGCATTCAGCAAATACGCATTTATATCATTTAAACAAATCTTTGAATAACTAATGAACATTTAATTTCAAAAATCTTGCAAACTTAGTCAAATCCAGTTGTGAGATCTTGTGAAGTGTGCATTTGTATCCAGCATGATCGCGTGTTCTCTGCGTGACGGTCGATCCGTGTGAATTGAATGCTGACAGGAGGAGAGTTCAGCTTCACTGGAGACGCGCGATCGACAAACTTTAAACTCGTGATTTCTAATTATGCTGCACTTCATGCTTTTGCCCACTGTCATATTCATGTCATTTTCACTGTGTGCTGGATGTAAAATGAGTGTTACCTTGGCTTTATTTGAAAAAATATGATTCCCAAATCCCAATGCACACAAACTTATCTTGAGAAGTGTGCGTGTGTATCCTGCATGATCGTGTGTTCTCTGCGTGATGGTCGATCCGTGCAAATTGAATGCTGACAGGAGGAGAGTTCAGCTTCACTGGAGACGCGCGATCGACAAACTTTAAACTCGTGATTTCTAATTATGCTGCACTTCATGCTTTTGCCCACTGTCATATTCATGTCATTTTCACTGTGTGCTGGATGTAAAATGAGTGTTACCTTGGCTTTATTTGAAAAAATATGATTCCCAAATCCCAATGCACACAAACTTCCCAGAATACTGAATGCCCTGTTGGTTACAGTGTTTACTTCCTTTTTAATTATATTTTTATTAAATATTTATTTATTTGTGAAAAATACTTTGTCATTTAAAGTATGTTTATTGTACACATTTATTTTTTAATCCATTTTCAAATTATTTTAAATTTCTTAAATATTAATTAAAATAAATAAAATTATATCGGCTTTGTATCGGTCACCCTGCTTTCCAAGATATCGGCATCGGCTGTCAAAAAAACCAATATCGGTCGACCATTACTAGTATCCCACTTTTGCGATTCCAGGACTTGGAACGGTTCTGGTTTGTGTGCTAGGTGTGCTTGAGAACAGTTTTTCAAAACCATCTGAGCCTATTATGTAAAAAAAAAACAAAAAACAAATGTTTTGCAATTTCCCAGCACCACCTGCCTGTTCTCAGACAGGCTAATAGTTTAACCAAACACAAGCTGCAGTAATTTTGGCTACCTAAACTAGATGAAGTGAGGCGGTAAGGAAATGCCTTGACACAGCAGGAGGTGTGTGTACGTGTGTTGACAGGAATCAGAGCGTCAATGAAGAGGATTTGCCTGCAGTTTCAACAGAACAGAATTAGCAGCGTTCACATGACTGCAGGGAGTTCGGACAAAACGTGACTGGTGATAACAGGCTAGACCAGTCTTTAGGAGCTGGAAACACATACAAACGCACTTTAGACGGAAGGAAATCTTTGTTAAAGTTGTTTTAAGTACACATAGAGCTCTAATTTGATGTCATTGCGCATGTCGTCTTAGGTTTATATAAGCAAATACAGAATGGTTGGTTCATTGAGGGTAAAATCATACTTTGTTTGCAGTGTTTGGTTAAAGCGTGCAGGTGTGTGCATTCGTCAATCATCAGATGATGTCAGTTTGTAGGTTTCGTCATATCTGTTTGATTTAAACTCATGTGTTGTCATAGAGGAGTATTTTTAGTGTCTTATAGTTTGTCCTTTTGCTTTATCATGGACCCTTTTCTTTGTGTAAGTTGATACACTACTCAGATATCAAAGCCAGAGAGGTGTGCTGTTTTGAGGTCAAAGGTGACCGGTATGTTGTTTAAACAGTCAGTGGGTGTGTCTTCAGGTCATGTGGAAGTGGAGCCAATTTGAGCTATTCAGCCAATTATATCGAATTCTATTTACTGTGTTAATAAATATTTCTGTTATTAGGGACTGTTTACATACACGGAGCACAGTTTTTTCAGTTCATTATGACGTTTTTCCATAATTATTGTACTGTATGTAAATATGCGGTAGACCGATCTCTTTAACCATTGCACTTGTGTTTTGTGTCTTTTTCAGCTCTTTAGTAAAAAAAAATTAAAAGTTTAACCTTTGAAAAACATGTTTGCAGGTGTTGTGTTTTTTTTTTTTTCACTGCCAGGCATCTTGCATTTTTTTTAAACATAACAATGTATTGTTTGATTGGCCCATTATTGCACACAATTCATGCATGCTTTTTTAAAATAAAAGTATATTTCTATTTTTTTTTTAAGATTTTTGTAATTTACAATTTTTGTCATTTAACGAAAAAAATCTCATCTATTTTTTACTTTTGTCAAAATAACTTTCTGTGTATCTGAAATAATGTTTCATTTTTGCTGACATTCTCTTTCAAAGTTGTAATAAAACAAAGATTATTGGAGTTTTACAAAAAAAAACAAAAAAAACAAATCAGTGTTTCTATTTTAAAATATGCCATTTAATTCAGAGCTATACCATTTATTTGTATTTTTTTATTAATTTTTCTGAATGAAAATTGTTAAAGTAAATACTACACCATTTTTTAAGTAACAATGGAAAGCAGAAAGGAATTTCTAACTTTCTATTTAGAAAAATTGCCAACAAAATACAGTAATGCTAGAATTGCCATTTTGTTTCTTTTTAGAAAGAACAGATGCCAATGAAGAACATTTATTTTTGAGAGTGTATAGTCAGAAACAATTGATATTAAGTAGGAATATAACATATCTGATTTTGAAGGGCTGTTTGGGTGGAGACAAATAATGTTATTCAGTTACATTGAAGCATAATGCTCATGGTCTGATGATCGTCATTTCATGTCTTTTTTTAAGACCTTGTGTGAGGTCTTCATGCATGAGGGCTCAGCTTTCATCACGTTTTTCTGTTTAATGGTGAGATTAGTAACATGATTAACACATGTCATTAGCATCAGGACAGGCAGCTGTCAGAGTCTTAATCAGTACATATACTATAATGTACCCACATGCAAAGAGCAGTTCAATGTATGCGGACCCCTCCTGGACCCCGTTGCACATGAGTGACCAGCACACATTGCTAATGAGAGCCACACAAAGGGCTTAAGTGTGTGTGTAATTAAGGCTGATTAGCTGATGAAGGACTGTTTTAGTCTTCAAAGAGGTGTGTGCTGGTCTCAAGCTGAGAGCAAATACTAGAAGATGAGATAAAAAAGAAAAGCTGTGAGCTGCTCATTCAAAGAAAAAAGTTTGATGTAGTAACTTATGTAGTTTTTCACAAAGCAAAGCTTCTCCTCAGTCCACTGAGTACATTAATGAAAACTAAGCTGCAAAAACAGGTCATTCAGGATTAATGGATCAATATGGGATTGGCCAAAAGCAATACTTAGAAAGCTGGGTGGCTGATAATGCAGATACATTATACAATTTCAAATTAAATGTACACAACCAACATGGATAAAGTGTATTTGTCTTTATCTTTCAGAATATTTACCTAAAATTCACTAAAAAGCATTTTTTTTTTAAATTGGTTATTCTACTTACAAAATACAAGATTATACTTTTCTTGTCATTTATAACTCCTCTCCTTATAATTGTCCCTCCCTTTTTGTTTCTCCATTCTTCCCATCAGCATCTGCTCCCACTGAAGCCTGTCTGTCCTGAAGAGCTAGTTCCAGCACTGCACACTTTCCGGAGCTCATAACCCTTACAGTCTACACCTGTATTTCCTGCTGTAGCCTGGGACGTAAGCTGGGGCTGACAGTGTTAACATAACCTCAACTATAGCTCAGCGCTGGGCAGGCCGTTGGTGTGATAACCTACTTATACTGTACCTACACAGCAGAGAGTGGGTTTCTGGGCCCTGTGTCAAAAGCTTTAGCTGGCAAGAACAGCTGGAGTGGATTTTTAAGTAAAACATTTGTTCAGTTTTGTTCATTTTGTAAAAGAAGAAAAAAGGACAGACTTAGTAGTTTTTTTTTTAACTCCTATCGTGACCAGCAAACCTAGTAAGTTCTGCAATATACACAAAGATACCAGAAAATGATGTGACATAACTAATGCAAAGTGACGTTTTTACAAAGAGAAAATCCATTAGCAGAAAACAGTGGTTGATAAAAGGATAGTTTAGATGATACAGCTGAAAATCACTCATTCATGCAAGTACTGCTTTTCAACCCTCCAGACATCCATTTGAAATGTATTATTGCAATTATTTGTTTGTTTTTACACACTGAAAGATGAGTCAATATAATAGTCTGTGGTAATTGACATTTTACCACAAGATGTTGTCAATAGATTTTGTTTCCTTTAAATGTATTGCTACTTGCTTGGCTCATCAAATTGTGTTGTAAAGTGTTTCAGAATGCGATGTTGAATCATTCTTGATGGGAGGTTAATAGCTGCAAAACATCCAACTGCATAGCAATTGTTGAATTTATTTGGTTTGTAATTAAGTTAAGATTAATAAACATGCTGTGTGTAGGTTTATTTCTTACATAAGCCTTATAAATAATTGTAATTGTCTAGGCAAAAGTAAATCTACACAAACTACTATTTGTTTCTACATTGACTGTGTGTGTGTGTGTGTGTGTGTGTGTGTGTGTGTGTGTGTGTGTGTGTGTGTGTACCGTAGATATAATACCTGGAGAAAGCACAGATTGTGCTGAACTGTGATGGTAATGGCTTCAGACAAAAAGAAAAAAGTCAATTTCACAATTTAAGAGGCCTTTAAAAACTGGTAGAAGATCCACTTTAATATAATTAAATATCTGATGTACACTACTATTCAAAAGTTTAGTGTTCTTCAGGTTCTTTAATGTTTTGAAGTCTCTTATTTTCACCAAGGCTGCATAAAATATTTTGAAATATTGCAATTTAAAATAACTGCTTTCTATTTGAATATATTTTAAAATGTGATTTATTACTGTGAATCATGTGACTCCGGTCTTTAGTGTCACATGATTCTTCAGAAATCATTCTAATATGCTGATTTGCTTCTCAGAAAACATTTCTTATTATTATAATTATTGAAAACAGTTGTGCTGCTTCATATTTTTGAAATCCTTTCGTCATCGATAAATAGAAAGTCCAAAAGAGCAGCAATAGAAACTTTTTTTGTAGTAATGTAAAATACTTTATTTTCACTTTTGATCAACTTAATGCATAACTGCTGAATAATAATAAAAAATACTGAACAGTAGTGTATGTTCAGCAAAAGATTTGTCCTTAGAATAGTGTAGTAACAGCAGCTTCCAGCAGGGGTTAACTGGACCATGCTAACCAGCCAAACCTTGACCACTCAGTGTATACTAAAGAGACTAATTACATCTTGTTCACATCCCGTCCTCTTTATTTCACCTTGTATGAGGTGTAGTGGTTGCCAAAGACCTTCTGTGCTTCTCAGAATCTGGTTCCTGTCTCCACACAAACAGTTCACGTCTGCCTTCCTCTTCCCTCTGAGCAGTCGCAGGCCAGCAGGAAGGAGATAGGAAACAAAGAACCTACTTCCTGCGGTGGACGCCAGCATTCCAGATATTGGAAAAGGAAATGCTTGGTAACTAGAGGGGCTCAGAGGAGTTTGCTGTCCCAGCTTTCCATCAATCTCTCATTGTCTGCCCTCTCCACTGCCCTTTCAGTCTTCGTAGTTGGTTTATTACGCTTCTAGTAATAGTGAGCCAATGGGATTGGGCTCTTTAATCAAAGTTATCTTTGCAGATGCTGTCACTGCACCTCAGTCGAGATTTGTGAGCTGTGTTTTATCTACGATTTGATATGAGTCATCAATCCTGCACCATTTCACACCCGACCCCTCGTACTAACCGTCCCGTGTGTGTATCAGTGGAGACAGTCACCATGGAGACCCATCAGAAAAAGGGGGAAGGGGGGACCAAAAGAGAGACGCAGATGCTGGAAGGCTGTGTTTAAATCAACACCATAAAACTCCTGCGGGATCCAGATGCGGGGCCTCTCGGGAACAATGCGTGTGGTGGCTGAGACACCCCTGGACATGATTCATCCTCTCTGCCCCCTTCAGCCTGACCCTTGAGATGCTCGTCTTAGATGGGCTTGATCGTTCAAAGAACGCCGTCTCCCTCCGGACTCCTCAGACTGACTTTGAGCCCTTCAAAAGCATTCTGAGGTCAGGTAGGCCCACGGGAGCGCGTGGGAGAAGAAGAATATTGGCATGTTTGAAAACTGTAGAAAATGAATGCGTCAAGACAACATGTTTGACAGATGCGAGTTTAAAAACGGGCTTTTTCAGAACGTTGTCAGTAGGAAACTGATAACTGATTCTGAAGATTCCGAAAAAAAATGGAACCGAGTGATTTCCAAGACATTTGGTTCTATTAGCAGTTCTTCAACACCATATGTAACACTGTACTAAAATAGTTTGACAGGTTTGTCTTGCACTGGTGAATCTACAGCACTAGCGCAAATGAAATCATGACTGAGTTGTGCGTTTGTGTTGGAATTACGAGTTATAAGCCAGAAAGACTGTATAAAGAAATGAATAGACATATTTCTGTTATGTTATCCGTGTTGGTTGATTCACAAATACATAAATCTTATGAGCTGGATCTTTTAATGAACTGGTCAAAATGAATCACAGACAAACTAATCTGCTCACTGAATCAGTCCAAGCAGTTACTGAATTAACATTACTTTCATCATGTGTGACTCAAAATAAACCAAGACTGTGCAATGCTTGAAGTTCATAGAGTTAAATCAGTCTAAACACTGACCAGTTTTTCATATGACAATATATACCCTTGTAAAAAAGAGGTACACTTTAGCATACTTAAAATGAGAATATACTGGGAACTAAATGCAGTGTTTTGTACACTGAATTGCAACTGATTGAAAATGTATATATTAAATGCAATTAGCTGAACTTACCCAATTTAAGTACTTAAGTACATCTTATTAATATATGATATGTAATTTCATAATCACTTCTGTTATCTTTGAAATATAGGTAGACTAAAACATACTTTAATGTAATTTATATTGAAACCTGTATGTCATGTATTTATATATGTGTAAATAAGTTGTAATTTTGTAAATTTAAAAGATATTAACTTTAAATGTAATATCAAATAACTCACTAGTTAAATTTTAATCATCAAGTACTTTACATGTGCAAAATGGGGGCAAAAACAAAAGTGTTGCGTTTATAATTTTGTTCAGTGTATGTTAGTCAAAACATAAAAATAAGTGTACTTTTTAAAGTATGACAAAAGATTAAAACATGATTTAAAATGTTTTTATGTTCTCATATGTTATAGTACTATTAGCTTCCTCAGAAGTATTGAGAATTGTTAATGAAATGAAGGAAGCACAATCGGAAGTATAATCATTATAGAGTACACCTTAAGATTCCATTCCATAAGAGACGCTTCTGTTTACAAACCCTGTTCCATTTCCTTCTCACCATGCAGAAGGTAAGCAAAAACGAAGAGAAAAATATGTCTCGAGGTTTTCCTTTCAACGCCCCACTCGCTCCTGACTTCCATCCTCTGTGCCGTTTTTAGCCAACCTGTTTTTTCCCGCAGAACATCAGAGAGTCAAAGTCAATTGTCATAGCAGAGAACAGCTGGAGGAAGTCGAGTGACTACACAGCAAGACTTGAACTCTACAGCAATTTACACACGAGAATCTTCTCCATGAAGAACATTTTTTTCCGCTTTGCAATCACACGTCATGCTTGAGCGACTGACTGCTCAGGTTTTCTTGTGAATACAACGTCATGCTAGTTGCGTTAGTGAGCGTGTCCTAAATTATGTCAGATTTGAAATTTTTCGTGAATATGACTTGTTTATCATAGATAAACTGCTTTGTGTACATTTTCAAACCAGCTTTTAACTTAGTCCTGTTACATTATTGACATTTGAACAAAAGTTATCCTTAAAATCATTGTTCTTCCTCTAAACTTAAAGGGGTCATATTATGCTTTTTCACTTTTTCAACTTTAGTTAGTCTGTAATGTTGCTGTTTGAGCATAAAAAAGATCTGCAAAGTTACAAAGCTCAAAGTCCACTTCAAAAGGAGATATTTTATTTAACAGAAATCACTTTTCAAAAACTACAACGAACGACTCGTTTGGACTACAACGCATATTTTCCGGGATTCGTGATGTCACAAATATTGACGAATGGGACGAGACCTGGTTAAGCTGCACTAGAGAAGGCAACGAGTGTTATCACTATGTCGGAGACACGCTAGCTTTCCCAAGGCAGACGAACTTAGAGTGGTTACAATCATCCGGGTTTAAATCGCGCTCAAATTGATTTGATTTTGACACAATATTTACACTGAAGTTCGCAGGCGGCTATGGTAAGGGGCATGACATTTCCCGA